TTTTTTTTTTTTTGCTACTGGCATCCCTTTTGTGCATTTTTTTGTTTCGTTTCATCTCGTTTCGTATCGTTTCTTTTCTGCTCTTTTATTGCCCATATTTTTTCACAATTTCTTCACAATTCTTTAGCAGTATTTCAGTTTTCATCGCAGTGTTTCAGCGAAAGCAGTAATAACAACAACAACAACAACAACAGCAACCTTGGTTGGTTGATACTTGTGGTTTTTTAACAGCGATCAAAACAGAAGACTATCAGTTGTTTTTCTTACTTCTTCACAAATCGGATTAAAAGAAATCAACGGACAAAAAATGTTTGCTATGGATGATGTCGATGGAAATGTTAGTTTTTTCTTTTTTTTTTTTCCCCCTTTGTTGTTTGACATACCTCTTCTGTTTTTCTTTCCTTTTTGTCTACTTGGTAATCTTGTCTTGATTCTTTCTTCTCGTCTCGTATTTTTTGCATACATTCCGTTGAATTTAATTAACAAATTAGTGAGCTATGTTTTATTAGGTTATTTCTTCTCTTCTTTAAAATTGTATAAAAAATTAAAAGATTAACGGATCAGTTATTAGCACCCCTGTTTTTTCTTACTCTTTTGTTTTTCCTAACACCTAGCTAGGACTTATTTTTTTATCCGTGAATGACCTTTTTTTCAGTGTTTCTTACTGAATAGGAAATTAGTTTAGTTTCAGTAATATAGATGATATTTGAAAGCGTTTTTACCATAAGCTTTTGCTAAAGGTTTTTTGACTTTATTTTGGTCAACGCAAATTATTTTTAGTAATGATTTTTAGTCTCTCATAAATTTCTTTCGACTTTCACCTAGGTTTCCAAGACTATGTAGATTACGTTTTAATTAAGCTTCAAAATGATTGAATTTTAGTATTTGATGGATGATAATTTTATTTTTTTTTCACCAAATGCTTGTTTATTTTATTATTTTATTTTTTTTTGAAATTTGAACTAGCTTAGTTATGCACCAAATATAGTGGCTGGTGGCGTTGGAAATTGTCATCACCTGCTTCTTTTTTTGTTTGTCTGTTTTTTTTGCTTGCTGCTCATCGACCCAATTTTGATTTACTGGTATGGCTTAATGTAAACTGAAGATGTTTGTGGAAATTGGTTGTTGTACGGAAACGTTACTCAAAGAAAATAGTCAAAGTGTTAGTTAGACGACCTGGTTGAAACCCAATTATCAATGACGATTGCAGTGAAGGTTTTAAAAGAAGCGTTTTTGAGAATGATAAAAATACAGGTGGAAGTTGTCGTCAGCAGTTAATTTGTCAGAAGTAAAAGGTTGTTTTAACTTTAAAAAGTCGTCAAAGCATCATTATTTTTAAATCATCTTTCAAGAACTACTTCTTTTAAGCATTTTCTTCTAGAACTAAAGTACTGAATCAAGTAGTTTTTTTTTAATTTTTTACTTTTTGTGTTTTTTGAAGATACCCAGTTAGAGGCTTGTTTTTCCTATTAGTTCCCTTTTTCTGCTTTGTTTTTACTTTGTGCTGATGGGGTAAAAGTCAGAAACATAAATGTTCTTTTACCGGCTCCGATTCAGGTTTAGGGTGGGGAAGAAATATTAGAGGGAAAAGAGGCACAAGAAGAAGAGTTCTTAAAACTGTTGCCACGTGTTTTATTTCTGATGTTTGTTTAATGATGGTATACATCCGTAAAAATAAAAATTTTATTTATTTTTTGATATTTATTTGTTATTATTACGGGGACACTTCAACATTTTCCGCACATTTGTTTTGCATTTATTCCTCTCCGTTAGTTTAGTTTACTTTGTTGCAAATAATTTTAAAAATTATTTTTCTCTATTTTTGCTTCTCATTATTTGAATGGCACTGTTTATGACTTAACGGTTATACAATTGAAAATTCGAGGAACTGCAGCAGAGAACATTTAGTTTTTTTTTCGCTTACTATAGTTTTTTTTAGGTGTATAGATGTTTAAAATTTTTTATAGATTTGCATCAAGGAAAAAAGCAATGTGAAAAGTCAATTTATAGTGTAACAAAATAACAAATTTTAGAGTGGCTGCCGGAGTGTTTTCGTTCTGTAACTTCCGTTTCGTTCTCTAGTATGTCGGGCAATTTTTTTTCCATTTTTTTTGTGTTTTAGTAAACTTTTATTTGATGCAGTAGGAGTTATCAACAACGGGGAAGAAAGGGACAGAAGCAGTTATTCATTTACTGAGAATTATTTAGATTTTTTAAGCGTATCAGTAGAGAAGTTAAGAGAGAAAAAACAGAAAATGTGAGGATAAAGAAAGGAAAAAAAGCTTAAGTTCTGAATAGTTTTGCCAATACAATTTCTTTTTTTTTTTTTTCTGCTTGATTTATGAGTTGGTTGCAAGAATAGTTTCGTTTTTTTTTTTCCGAACATATTTTCATCGCTTTATTATTATTTTTTTTCTTCACAATTTGTAGAAGTTAGTTGAAAAGTTGAAAAGAAGGAGGAAAATTTTCATTTTATTGGTTAAAACTGCGGCGCGTATCTAATTGTCTATGTGACTTTATTTATGTATCTGCATTTGTTCTTGCATCTTTCTTAGTGTCTGCGGCGTCTCAGTTGTTGTTGTTGTTGATGCTGATGTTGGACGAGAAGCATTGTTGGTTTTGTTCACAGAATCGCTCAAAATCTTTACTATGGTTTCTCTATTAATACCCTAAATATAGCACTTGTTTGTTCTTGTTCTCTGTTGTAGGGAAGGCAGAAAACTTATTTTCAGAGTTATTACAAAGTGCTTTTTTATAGTTTTATTTATCATATTTAATTCATAAGAGCTTTTTTAATTTTTTTAATACATAAATATGATGACAAGTTTAGTATCAGAAGAACTGATATTTTTCTTCTTCTTGACATTTGCATCAAGGTGTTCTACACTATGGTTGTTTTGGCGAAATAAATTTCAACTTTTATGCTAGTACAAAAATTTGGTGAATTGCACCTAATTTAGTATTAATGTTGGTTATACGTAGTTATCTGGAATTTTGCTAATATGCAAACCACGAAGCGTAATGAGGTTTCCTGCCCACTGAAAGATATCTTTAAATTATTAAGAAATCATCTAAAATATGAGTTTTTTTCCGCAGTTTGTAGCATCTATATCTTATTTTTATTCATTCTGTATATTGTGTAACTGCAAAACGTTTCAAAGTGTTATTTTTTAGGTTCCTGCGGTAGTTATGACAAAACCTCCAGCAGTGAGCGACTTTGCTAGCACTCTGACTAATGTCATCGCTACTGCGTCGTCGCAGCATTCGGAGGCTATTGAAGAACCGGTAAGTATGATAGTGTCAGACTTCTGCGCCAGTTTTGTTTTAGCCGCGTTCAATGTACTTTTTTCGATTACTCTGTAGTTCGGATTGAAGTTTAGTTTTGAAACATTTTCACTGCTTTATCATTATAATATTCTAGGTTCGAGCAGGTTTTGATGCTGAGGTGCTCTGGCGGGGTCCAAGACTTTCGCGTAAGCTTTTTTCCTTGACTTCTTTCTTTCCGACTCTTTCATTTTTTGTCTTGCTTTTTGACAAACTTAATTTGTAGTACTCGAATAAATTTTAGGTTCTAGAACTTGTTCCGTTGACTCAGCGGACTCAGAATATGGTCGCGGTCTCTCAGTTCCAGAGAAT